CCCCCCGCCCGCCACCCCACCACCGCTATACCCTCAAAGTCACTGACTGGGGCAGTGCTTAGGAGGTCAGGAGCGGAGGGAGGGGCTCCAAGGAGAGAAGAGCAGCTTCTGGCAGGGCGAGGCCAAAGGCACTGCTGTGAGGCACCGTCCCCCACCATGGGCGCTCCCCAAAAATGCGCTGCATCTTCCAGCCTCCAGCCTCCTCCTCATGCTGGCCCCTCTGCTTGGATGCCTCTTGTCCTAGGCCCTCCGCCTTGGCCTGTGCAAAACTCCACCCACGCTAAGGAAAGACAGCCCCCACACCCACCTTCCAGGCCTTATGCATCTGCTCTCAGCCAAGAAGCCCTTCCAGACACACCTCCGTGTACACAAATCGTGAGTGTCCATTCTGCCCTCTGGCCCAACGGCCCACAGACCCCGAGGTCTCCCCTGGGGCCTGGGGTATTTTTGGAAGGTGCACCTGTAGTACTTCTCGATGCCCGAGCTCATCTCCCCACTTAAGCTGAGCCCTCCAAGGGCCAAGGCCAGCTCTGTGTCTCATTCACACCCTCCTCCTTCCCACCCATCTCACCCCACATACAGCCAAACCCAGAGTAGGCATATGCCAGGGATGTCCTGGACAAACTCAGCCCCTGGGACCCTGTCCAGATCCAGCTGCCTTCCTGCCATCCTGTGAAAGCCCCGGCCTCACGATCACCACTGCCTCTGGCAAGCCCTTCTGGATAAGGAACTCAGGAGTTAGCTCAGTGTGGCCACTCCGGCCAGAGGGAGAAGGCGCTCTCCCACGGGAGGCTGAGTGGTGGCCAGGAGACAGAATTTGCAAGAAGGGGTCACCTCAGAGCACCCCTGGGCTACCTTGGGGGGAGAGTGTTGGTGTCACAAAATAGGACCAAGGACCCTCTCTCCAGAGCCAACCTCATCCCTAGACTGGGAGCTGGGGGCATGGGTTCTAACTCCAGCCCTGGCCCTGACTCCTCAACAGGCCTCGGTTTTTCCTATCTGCACAGTGCGGCTCAGAGCCTGTCAGAGAGAGAAAGTCCACCTCTGAGGCTGGAAAGCAAAGTTCACGGGTCCTCTGAAGAGAAGATGTCTCCCCTCATGCTCTCTGCAGATGTCCGACCAGTGAATGTATAAAAGGAATGCAAAGGGGAGGCCACGATGGGCCTCAGGGGAGCACCAGGACCTTGATGGCCTAGTCAGGACCCTCACCCTCACCCTGAACTGTCAGCCCAAGGGCAGGGGAAGCAGAAATCAGCTCCTGAGTCTAGGGCCCTTGGGGTCCAGCCCCTGAGTTCAGCACCACCTCTGCTGCCTGAGCCTCAGGACCAGTGTGCAGACAGGGCCGAGCCCAAGCGCAGGCCCTTCAGGATGGGCTGCCGGGCAGTTGGGGTCCTCGCCAGGTCTCACAGAAGCCTACTAGGGGCCCGTGCCGCCAACCGGCCAATGGGTCTGTGGGGCAAAGGGGCACCCACTGGGGTAGGCCCCAGGCCCCAGTGGGTGTGGAAGACAGAAAAACATGAACCAGGTGATTTAAAGCTACATTTCCCCTCCCCGCCCTGACCACCTTGGTCTCTGGGACCAAATCTCAGGGGTTCTCCCCAGGGATTTAAACCCTTTGGCCCCGGGGGACGGAGTCAGCAGCCAAGGTGTCCAGACTGGGGAAATGGGAAGGGTAGGCGGAGGAATGGGGGGACCGCGGTCCCAAATAAGCTCTGGGCCCGAGTGTAGGGAGAGCATGCTCACTTCCACACCCGTGGAGCGCAGCTGGCCAGGGTCCTTGGCAGGGCTGGGGCCGCTCACACCTGCACCCCCTGGCCTTGCATCTGGAGCACTCGCGCCCGCAGCGCACTGATCCCGCTGAGGAGGGCCTCCCGGTGTTCGGCCGAAGAGATGCCCAGGCTCACCAGGTCCCTGAAAGAAGGGCTGGTCAGACCCAGCAGGCTCGGCCCTCTTCCACTCTCCCTCCCTCTGTGTGGACAGGGGAAGGGTCTGCAATTAGGACAGGCAGGGGGTGAGGGGGGGGTACCGGGTAGATAGGGGCAGGGCCCCCGGGGTTCCTCGGACTCACTGGGCGCCCATGGCAGCCACGGCCTCCAGGCTCCCAAAGCCACCTGCAGCAAAGCTGTCCTTGTAGCGGCCCAGGTCCAGGGCCTCCAGCCATGCGCCCACGGAGCCAAAGGAGGGAAAGGTGGAGAAGGCACGGTCTGCCAGGGGGGTGGGAGGCCTGGGGAGCAGAGGGGCTGTGGTCAGTTGACAGCAGGGATCTGGTGCCCAGACCTGGTCACTCTTCTGAGGAGAGGCCACCTGAGAGAGGACAGGAGATGGGGAAGGCGACCCAGCCCCAGGGTGGACGTGGCTGCATGGAGCATGAGGCACCCCCAGAGCAGGTGAGGGTTTCAAGATACCAGTCAGGTAGGTAGAGAATGGACTGCACCTGAGCCAGCCAAAGGTACTGGGAGGATCTGGAACAGTCTGGGGGATAGGACACACCTCGGACAGTCTGGGAGGTGATCTATATTATATCTGGGGCAACTAATACTCGTTTCACTTATTCTATTTATTGCAACTACAAGCTTGTTAGAACTATTTCCACACACATTCACCCAGTCAGTGACCACGGTACTGGGATGTGTGAGGCAAAACCCAGGACAAGCAGAGTGACTGAGATGGATGAAAATGTACATGAGTCTGAGGCAGGCAGAGTATTAGCTCTATCTGGGGCAACTGGGTGAGCAGGCGTAGCTGGACGGGTGGGGGAG